TGGTTAAGATGCAATGATTGACTTCTTACCTCACCTCCTCTCTGCAGTTAGGAATGCTTCCTTCTTATAAGTTTCTATTAGCTCCCTGGAGCTAGGCCTGTAGTGCAGGGCTAGCTCATTGGCTAAGAGGGTCAGTTCACCACTGATGGTCTAAGCTCTGCACATCAGGCTTCCACCTTGCCTGGAGGCTTCATGGGAGTTTGAGTTTGTCTACTTAACCATCAGCAGCAAAGCTGTATTTCTTAATTCAGAGCTTAGGGCACACCAGCAGTCCACGATAACATGGTATAATGATACTTGGAAGACATAAGGAACTGTGCGATGATGGTGATAAAGTGGGGTTTTTTTTGTAATATTTTTTATTTTTATTTTTTTACATAAAGAACAAGATCTCAATGAAAATACAAATAAATAATATTGTGATGAAAACTATACCAATTATTAGTTAAAGAATTGAAAAAGACATGTAGCACCACACATTCCATAATATCTTTGACAATGTCAGATTTTCAGGGTCTTCCCACCCCATATTGAAATTATTGACGTTAATATCTATTGTGTGTATATGTGCGCGTGAGTGCGTGTGTGCGTGCATGCGCACGTGTGTGTGTGTGTACGTAACGTGTATATTTCATTTGAATGATTGTCGATGGCTTGTTTATCTTCCTCTTTTATATTTCGAAGGTAAGATATTTTGATGTTTTAGATATGATTTACTATAATAAGATAACATTGTTATTTTTATTTATTTATAATGTTTTTGTTTTTGTTTTGTAAATCTTTATTTAACTGTTTTCAATGCACAAAAATAACAACATTGAAAGTGAGAGTCACAGAAATTTGCAAGCAGAAACAAGAGATTGTAGAAATCAGGAAGTTATAAAAAGTAACAGGTATATATAAGTGCGCAGACCCAGAAGACAACGTACATGGCGAGGGTTGTGTTTGTTTGTTTTTTATAACTTTTTCTCTCTTTAAATGCCAACTTGTTATCAAGATACACCTCCTTCAGGTATGGAAAGTGTTTGAAATTCTACCATTCAGATAATGCATGTTGTATGCTTAACACCTGGAATTTAAGAACAGCTTAGTGACAGTCATGCAAAATGTAGACACAGGGTCGTGTTACAATTCTTTGACAAATGAACCTGCATGTTTGTACTGTTAAGGTTTAGAAAAGGACAAGCCTGTGTAAATGCTCAGGAATTGGTGTACAAAGGCAAATGTGGAATATATGTCTAATCTACACATTCAATAAATACATAAAGTGTTACATAAATACACACAGTTTAATAAATACTCCAGTACATATAGTTATAGTGTTACGTATTATTATGCATCCCACAGGTCAAACATTTCATAGAAGGGCAGTAAGAAATTTCTATAGCTGTACAAAGTTATTGTGAAGGCAAAAGAAAAATATGGTGTGACTCATTTCTCCGTCAGTGGGCAAAATGGAGAAATCATGCAAAGGTGCGAGTACACGGAAATTAGGAAACCGTGATTATGGTTCCTTGTAAGGCTATGGAGCAACATCTGACTAGTTATATCCAAGTTATGGCTTGTGACGAGACCAATCTCGCCACATTGCATTGGAGAAGCCTGGTTGCTCGCCTGCTGCCTTTGGACTATGGCCCCTTTGTAAAAGACTTTATTTTTGCATGCAGAAAAGCTGTATTCGTGCTTTTCTGCCGGTTGTTCGGTAGTTTCAATCTACCGAACAACCGTACGAATGACTGGACCACCTAGGAGCTGGAGTGTGCCGGCAATTAACCTCCCTGAAGCTGCGGTTAACCGCAGCTTAATTGATGAACGCTGGGTGGGCGCCGTTCGTATCCCGAACACGAGGTCGCGGCCATTTTAAACATACGAATGAACAGCGGTGTTCGCCTCTATTTTCATGGAACTAAAATCGGACACAGTTTTGCGCGAACACCGCTGAAGCCGCCGACCTCCCTTCTTGTTCGGTGAAAGCACACGAATGACCCGGTGTTCGGTATTTTTGTGTGAATGTCTTATACCCCAGATAGGAATCCCATGGAGCCCATTCGTATGAAACTGACTGTAAAGACTTTGGCTCCATGGCGATTGAACTGTATTCGTGTAGTCTGAGTGCCATTCACCTAATAATGTGCACTCAGACCTGAGCTATCTGGGGATGTGTTACATGTCGGTGTTTTATGTAGTAAACGTTACTTTGTGCATTTTAAAGTGTTATGCTGGTTTTGTGTTCCCACGTGTGTAATGGAGTTTTGCCTTTGTCTTGGGAGATAATTGAGTTACTTCCCAATTATCTCCCAGGGCAGAGGGGAGGAAGCCAGGATGCATTGTGGGAATATACTGTGACTGTGTGTCCCTTTTTGTATACTTGTCTGTCCCTTGTCACAGTCTCCCATTTGGTCCCCTAGGGGAGTGTCCACCAGGTGGGAGACCTGCATAAAAGCTGGGCAGGTAGCCCTCATTAAACAGACCACTGCTTGACCCTCAACACGGAGCCTTGTCTCGTCTTTGGGGGGATTTACTGTATGCTGCTAAGGACTGATTGCCAGGAGTGTAAGCCGCTTGGAAGCTTTTCCTGTTCGCCTGCTAGCAGCTATTCGTATGGTTCCTGTTCGTTTATTTGAAGTGCTACCTTATTCCCTTGTATGCCGTTCGGGAGTTTGGAGCATTCACTTATTGGCGGTTCGTGAGTTTTGGTGATTCTACAGTAGCTGTCTCTGAAAGGGGGATTATCGTCTAAGCGTTTTTTTTCCCCTTTTATGCTAAACGGTCCGTTACAATTGGTGGCAAGCGGCGGGATCGTTCCTACAACCAGAAGGACAGCTACAGGAGACACCATTTCTTTGGATTTTACAATTTGAGGGCAACGCATGTCCCAGTACAGCGACCCTGACAGCACCAGCATGGAACCAGCAGTGGAGTATGACGAGGGTGCCATGGATGACCGAGATGCAGTCCGTAAAGGCATCTGGTACCAGGCACTGGGTATTGTGGAGTACCAGCGGGGCAAGAGACTCCCCAAGGAAGACCAGCGGTTGCAGAAGCGAGTAGCCCTGCGGATGCCCTTCCTGGGAGAGCAGCCCCTGGAGGAATGGGTGAGGAAATTGGAACACCTAGTATGGCAGGAGTTGTGGCTAGAAGATGCCTACCAGGCGCTCTGGTGGTATGGGGCACAGTACCTACCCTGGACAGCCGAGCATGACAAGCCAGAGGGAGAGGAGTTTGATGGTCCTGGCTTGTTATGGGAGTCGTTTTCAGAGCTCGAATTTGGGAGCCCTACACAAGCCCGGTTCAGTGATCTCTGGGAGTGGAGGGAGAGCAGGTATGACTGGGACGACGCTCACAAAATTGAGCAAGACCTGGTCCACCTGGTAACCCGGGAGATGGAGCTAGAACAGGGCTACCAGCAGCTGTTTCAATACAGCGAGAAGGCTCAGCAGGAGAGCAGCGTGACAGAGCCAGAACCAGACCCATTCAGCTGGGAAGACATTGTGGATATTTTCTGGGAAGAACCCCAGGTGGCCGGTAGAGATGGGACCGAGGTCTCTCCACCGGTCCTGCAGGGAATTGGGAGCCCAGTCTCCATTCCCCAGCGGCCGTGTGATTTATTGGGAATTGGGAGCCCAGTCTCCATTCCCCAGCGGGAGATATTGCAGGGAATTGGGAGCCTGAGCTCCATTCCCCAGCGGCAGGCTGAGTTACAGGGGACAGAGATAGTCGCTCCTGTCCCCCAGCAGCAGAATGAATTGCAGGGAATTGGGAGCCCAGTCTCCATTCCCCAGCGGGAGATATTGCAGGGAATTGGGAGCCCGAGCTCCATTCCCCAGCGGGAGATATTGCAGGGAATTGGGAGCCCAGTCTCCTGCCCCCCAGCAGCAGAAGGAATTGCAGGGAATTGGGAGCCCGAGCTCCATTCCCCAGCGGGAGATATTGCAGGGAATTGGGAGCCTGAGCTCCATTCGCCAGCGGCAGGCTGAGTTACAGGGGGCAGAGGTAGTTGTTCCTGCCCCCCAGCAGCCAGGTGATATGCCGGGAAGGCAGTGGGAAGTCCAGGGAGAGGAGAGCAGTGTCCTCCCTCCCCAGCGGCAGCGTGATTTTTTGGGAATTGGGAGCCCAGTCTCCATTCCCCAGCGGCAGTATGATGTTTTGGGAATTGGGAGCCCAGTCTCCATTCCCCAGCGGCAGAATGATGCTTTGGGAATTGGGAGCCCAGTCTCCATTCCCCAGCGGCAGAGTGTCCTACCGGGAATAGAGAGCCCAGTCTCCTTTCCCCAGCAGCAGGACTCTGTATTGGGAGCAGAGACAGTCGGTCTCCCTCCCCCACAGCTGGAAGTATGTATGGGAGAGGAGCTTGTTACCCCCTCTCCCCAGCGGCAGCTTAATGTACAAAGGGGAGACAGTAAGCCCCACAACCGTGCAGATGGGACCGTAGTCTCTACACTGCCAGCACAGGGGGTAGGGACGGTCGGTCCTGCCCCCCAGCGACAGGGCTGTTTAGCCAAAGGGGAGACAATCGGTCTCCCCCTCCAGCAGCAGAGATGGGTAACCAAAGGGGAGACGGTCGGTCTCCAGCAGCAGGACTGTGCATCTAAAGGGGAGACAGTCAGTCTCCAGCAGCAGCAGCAGAGCGGTGTATTTAAAGGGGAGACAGTCGGTCTCCCCCTCCAACAACCAGGCTTCCACCAGGCTACCCTCCCAGTAGCGCTGGCAACAGGGCAGAGTGCCGCTGGTCTCTGCCCACGCAGCAACCCACCAAGTCAGCGTACCCGTACCCAGCACAGCCGTGGTGAGGCACCTGGACCTGGACAAGCTTCCCCTTTACCCAGGTGTAGTAACCATTTATTGTGGGTGGGCTGTGCTGTTGATTATTTGTTGTGGGTGGGCTGCTGGACTAACAAGGGCACTGACCGGCAGGAGGTCAGATACCCTGTTAGTCTGTTTGGAAAAGGGGAGAGATGTGACGAGACCAATCTCGCCACATTGCATTGGAGAAGCCTGGTTGCTCGCCTGCTGCCTTTGGACTATGGCCCCCTTTGTAAAAGACTTTATTTTTGCATGCAGAAAAGCTGTATTCGTGCTTTTCTGCCGGTTGTTCGGTAGTTTCAATCTACCGAACAACCGTACGAATGACTGGACCACCTGGGAGCTGGAGTGTGCCGGCAATTAACCTCCCTGAAGCTGCGGTTAACCGCAGCTTAATTGATGAACGCTGGGTGGCCGCCGTTCGTATCCCGAACACGAGGTCGCGGCCATTTTAAACCATACGAATGAACAGCGGTGTTCGCCTCTATTTTCATGGAACTAAAATCGGACACAGTTTTGCGCGAACACCGCTGAAGCCGCCGACCTCCCTTCTTGTTCGGTGAAAGCACACGAATGACCCGGTGTTCGGTATTTTTGTGTGAATGTCTTATACCCCAGATAGGAATCCCATGGAGCCCATTCGTATGAAACTGACTGTAAAGACTTTGGCTCCATGGCGATTGAACTGTATTCGTGTAGTCTGAGTGCCATTCACTTAATAATGTGCACTCAGACCTGAGCTATCTGGGGATGTGTTACATGTCGGTGTTTTATGTAGTAAATGTTACTTTGTGCATTTTAAAGTATAATGCTGTTTTTGTGTTCCCACGTGTGTAATGGAGTTTTGCCTTTGTCTTGGGAGATAATTGAGTTACTTCCCAATTATCTCCCAGGGCAGAGGGGAGGAAGCCAGGATGCATTGTGGGAATATACTGTGACTGTGTGTCCTTTTGTATACTTGTCTGTCCCTTGTCACAGTCTCCCATTTGGTCCCCTAGGGGAGTGTCCACCAGGTGGGAGACCTGCATAAAAGCTGGGCAGGTAGCCCTCATTAAACAGACCACTGCTTGACCCTCAACACGGAGCCTTGTCTCGTCTTTGGGGGGATTTACTGTATGCTGCTAAGGACTGATTGCCAGGAGTGTAAGCCGCTTGGAAGCTTTTCCTGTTCGCCTGCTAGCAGCTATTCGTATGGTTCCTGTTCGTTTATTTGAAGTGCTACCTTATTCCCTTGTATGCCGTTCGGGAGTTTGGAGCATTCACTTATTGGCGGTTCGTGAGTTTTGGTGATTCTACAGTAGCTGTCTCTGAAAGGGGGATTATCGTCTAAGCGGTTTTTTTCCCCTTTTATGCTAAACGGTCCGTTACAAGTATTATACGGATGGTAGTAGCTATGTGAAAGAAGGAATTACTCGGCAGCAGGTTGTAGAGTTGGGTAGAACTATGGAGGAAGTACAGAAATGGGTACCTGTGAACATATATCCACCTGTTCATTCTTACCATCCAGGAGATCAAGTGTGGATAAAAGAATGGAATAGTGTTCCATTAGGTCCGAAATGGAGAGGTCCTTATGTTGTTCTTTTGTCCACTCCAACAGCTGTAAAGGTGGCAGAAATGACTCAGTGGATTCATCACTCTAGGGTTAAATCAGCAGCAGACTCTTGGCAAGCCATTCCAGATCCTGAAAATCCTTGCAAGATCCGGAGCGGGTGACTCAGTCGGAGTGAGTGTGAAGTATTGGGACATCGTGGTTGGAAGTATTATTTTGAGATCAGCAAGTAGGTGTTTTGACGGCCATAATAAAGCCTGACCATCTGCCTACGTGTCATAAGTCAGAGCGTCTCGAAGAGATCTCTGTGAAGGAAAGTGAGGATCAGAAGAACGCCAATCCTTGCAGCCCTCACAGTCGGGAAGCTGAGGTGCCATCGCACGGTCGAAGAAATAAAAATGAGGATACCAGGAGTAATACATTTTATTGTGTATTTATGTGTTGTTATAAATTTTCAGGGAGGTAAGCGTACAGACATACAGAATTGTGATAGCTGCATTAAGACTACTTAGACAGGTAATCAAATATCCCAAACTCTTATTTGGCACTCACAGTATGAATATAAGGGGTCTATATCTAAATGTAGATATTTGGACATTGATTCCAGTGTGTGTCACCTAGCAGAAGGAGAGCCTAAATGTTTTGATCCCTGTAACGGACCGTTTTGCACACAAGGGGTAAAAACCGTTTAGGCGATCGGCCCCCTTTCCAGAGATACAGGCACAGCTACTGCAGAACATCAAACTCCCAAACTGGATACAAAATAGCACTCCAACTCCCGAACTGGAACCTCCCAAATAGCTGCTAGCAGACGAACAGGAAAAGCTCCCAAGCAGCTTACACTCCTGGCAATCAGTCTCTAACAGCATACAGTGAATCCCCCCAAGAACGAGACAAGGCTCTGTGTTGAGGATCAAGCAGTGGTCTGTTTAATGAGGGCTACCTGCCCAGCTTTTATGCAGGTCTCCCACCTGGTGGACACTCCCCTAGGGGACCAAATGGGAGACTGTGACAAGGGACAGACAAGTATACAAAAAGGACACACAGTCACAGTATATTCCCACAATGCATCCTGGCTTCCTCCCCTCTGCCCTGGGAGATAATTGGGAAGTAACTCAATTATCTCCCAAGACAAAGGCAAAACTCCATTACACACGTGGGAACACAAAACAGCATTATACTTTAAAATGCACAAAGTAACATTTACTACATTAAACACAGGCATGTAACACATCCCCAGATAGCTCAGGTCTGAGTGCACATTATTAGGTGAATGGCACTCAGACTACACGAATACAGTTCAATAGCCATGGAGCCAAAGTCTTTACAGTCAGTTTCATACGAATGGGCTCCATGGGATTCCTATCTGGGGTATAAGACATTCACACAAAAATACCGAACACCGGGTCATTTGTGTGCTTTCACCGAACAAGAAGGGAGGTCGGCGGCTTCAGCGGTGTTCGCGCAAAACTGTGTCCGATTTTTAGTTCCATGAAAATAGAGGCGAACACCGCTGTTCATTCGTATGGTTTAAAATGGCCGCGACCTCGTGTTCGGGATACGAACGGCGGCCACCCAGCGTTCATCAATTAAGCTGCGGTTAACCGCAGCTTCAGGGAGGTTAATTGCCGGCACACTCCAGCTCCAGGTGGTCCAGTCATTCGTACGGTTGTTCGGTAGATTGAAACTACCGAACAACCGGCA